AGAATCACCTGGGAATCTTTTCAAAATCCTGATTTCTGGGCCTCATCCTCCAGAAATTCTGTTTCTTTGTTATGGAGTGGGGCCACAACATTAGTAACAAAGAAACAGAATTTCTGGAGGATGGGGCCCAGAAATCAGGAGTTTGAAAAGATTCCCAGGTGATTGTAATGTGCAGCCAAGGTTGAGAACACTGTCTTAGAGGCAGTTGGTTCTTAAAGCAGCTGAAACTGTGGGAGTAAACAACATCACCTGGCGAGTGTTTAGAGCAGTGAGTCTCAAACTTTGCTGTACATTGGAATCACTGGGGATGGGGTTGGGGAATGTCTTTAAAAATGACCAGTGTTCAGCCTGGCTGGTGTGGCTCAGTGGTTGAGCATTAACTCATGAACCAAGAGGTCACCGGTTCAATTCCCAGTCAGGGAACATGCTCAGGTTGTGGGCTCAATCCTCAGTAGTGGTGTGCAGGAGGCAGCCGACCAATGATTCTCTCTCATCATTGATGTTTCTATCTCTCTCTCCCTCTCCCTTCCTCTCTAAAATCAACAAAAAAATATTTAAAAAAGAAGAAAGTAAACTGTAATTGGAAAAAAAAAAGATGGCTATGTTCAAATCCAGAAAGGCTGATGTATGAAAGAGGGAGCTGATTTATTCTGGATGGTGGTGGTGGGAGGGGGCCAAGGCAGTACTACTGTGGAGGACTGAAGTGGCAGAGCGGTGGGATTCAGCTTTATGTAAAGAAACTTTCTAGCAATAGGTCCAACAGTGAATGACAGAACAATTAGAGGCCAGATGACTTCTTGGCAGTGGGATTGTAGAAAAGATTCAAATGTTTGGGGATTATCTCGGCTTTTATTTTCTTCCATTAGCCTAACAATTCAGAGGCTAATACTAAAACCATTAGAAGGTCATTTTCTTGACTTTAAAATTTCCTGCTCAGACCTGGCTGAGTCAGGGAGCACTTCTAATGGCTCGGTTGATGTAGTTATTTATTTGGTCTTTGGGGATCCCTGGATGAAGGCATGTGCCTACCCACAGGCCAGATATATAATGCAAATTAATTCTCTTAATTAGAGTCATATATGTTTATAGAAATCAATTAGCTAAATTGTATTTGGCAGCAACTTCCTAACAATCCCCTTTAAGTAATCATTGCAGTTTGGTGACCTTCGAAACCAACGGAAAGGCTTGACAGCCTTTTTCTTTTTCTTTCTTTTTTTAAAATATATTTTTATTGATTTCAGAGAGGGATTGGGAGAGGGAGATAGAAACATCAATGAGGAGAGAGAATCATTGATTGGCTGCCTCCTGCACACCCCACACTGGAGACCGAGCCTGAAACCCGGGCATGTGCCCTGACCGGGAATCGAACCGTGACCTCCTGGTTCATAGGTTGATGCTCAACCACTGAGCCATATCAGCCAGGCAGGCTTGACAGTCTGTAGTTTAAGGATATGTCTGAGATCCCTGACACCTCTGCAGTCATTTGGAGATTGAAAGAACGTAGAGATCAGAGATTTTGTGTCTTCCACTGCCATGGTTACTTCAGGATTTCCAGAAACTCCAGGAGATGTGGGTCTTGGAATTTCAAGACAAAACACAACAAATATCATCTAGCCTGGTTCTTAGACCTCCAGTTGCATGGGTGGGAGGAACTGCAGAAGTCATCCAGTCCCTGTGTTCCAGTGTCGTGTCCCTGCATTCCATCGTAGTGCAGTCAGTTATTCAACCCCTGCGTGACTGCCTTCAGTGACCAGGATCTTGCTAATTCTTTTTTATTGTTGTTGCTAATCCTCACCGGAGGATGTTTTTCCATTGATTTTTAGAGAGAGTGGAACGGAGGACGAGATACAGAGAGAGAGAAACATCGGTGTGAGAGAGGCATCGATTGGTTGCTTCCCACGGATATAGAGCCTGCAACGGAGGTACATGCCCTTGACCGGAATTGAACCCAGGACCCTTCAGTCCGAGGGTCAGTGCTCTATCCACTGAGCCAAACTGGCTAGGGAAATCTTGCTAGTTCTTGAGAAAACTCATTCCATCCTGGGATCCCTAGGAATAGCAAAGAGGTCTAGCCTTAGCCCAAGCTGAAGTCTCCCTCTCTGTGGCATTACCCCATTAATCCTGACTCTGCTTCCCAGAATTATGTGGAATATGTCTCTTCCACCTGGTGGCCTGGTGGCTGTTTGTGAACCATGATCCCACAGGCCATTGTCCAACAAACATTCTCTGATTTTTCAGAGTTGGCTTTAATCTCCTTACCATCCTAGTCCCCTATGAAAAGGTGCTGAAAATGTGATGCTCGGACATAAAACAAACCAGACTAATGTCCATATCCTAGATTGTCAGTTCACTTACTCCCATTAAGGGCCTGATGAGGCAATTGATATTTGAAAACAGTATCCTGTGGACTCAGTTGGATGTCCTTTTCTACACTTTGTGATTAGTCTCTGTGTTGTCAGGACACTAGAATCTACATTCTTGACCCTCCATACTAAGTCTCACAGAAATATGACGTGGCTTTGTGTCCTTGGGAAAGAGACATTAAATAATCGATATTATAAAAGACCTTTTACAGTAACAAGAAGGTAAACATTCCAGTAGGAAAATAAGGGAAAACCAGAAGTAGGAAAGTAGCAAAAAATAAATGCAAACGGCCATAGTGACTGAAAAATGTTCAGATGTATTAATTATTAAATAATTTCAAAACAGTAATGAGCTCAAATTTGTAAAGATGTCATGATATAGTCACAGGTTAAAAACTGCAAGGTACAGACCACTGAGTATAGCATGATTCTATGTTTGTGGACTAAGTATTTTAATATACATACTCTGGGTCTCTACAGATTTAGGGCAAAGTTAAGTGTGAATACCCACCAAACAGTGGTAATCTCTGAGGGACTGTATTAGATGCTTAAAATATGATGCTTATTTTATATAATTTTTAGTTTATATAATTTTTAAATATATATATATTTAAACCAATAATTAGATGTTACGTTTCATCCAGTTAGCAAATATATTTAAATTATAATATCCAGAGTTTATGAGAATGTGGCTACATGGGATGACACTCCAACCAACTGAGCCACACCAGCCAGAGCCCTTTTTGTACTGTTTTTAACAGAATTGGTATCAACAATTGTACTGGCTGCTTAAAAAGAATTTGGAAGCTTTCCTTCTTCATGCTCTAGAATAGCTAAAATAGCATTTGGGGAAAAACAAACTAAGTTGGCTAAAAGCAACATTATCCTGGATTGGATCCTGGAACATAAAAGGATCATTAGTGGGGAAAAATGGTGAAACCTGAATAAAGTCTATATTTTAGTCAATATTATTGGACCAATGTTAATTTCTTAGTTTTGACAAAGGTACAATGATCACAAAGATGTTAATATCAGGGAAAATTTCATAAAGGGTATATATGGGAACTCTCCATATTATCTTTGAAACCTTCTATACATCTAAAATTATTCCAAAATAATAAGTTTATATTTAAAATAAAACAAAAAGATTATCAGGAGTAAGGTACATTGTATAGATTTAAAATTCACCTTTCAACCTGTCTGTGTCTGGGCCTTTTTTGGGGGGGACAGGAGGGATAGCTCTTTAACAACTTTCTCTTCTATGGTAATTGTTTATTTAGATTTTCTATTTCTTTTAGGGTCATTTTGTATTTTCCTGGAAAACCATCTGTGTCATCAAGGTTTTCAAATGTCTTTGTGTATTATTAAGTAATGCAATCTCTTAAAATTCCTTTCATATTTTCTCTGTTTCCTGGTTATTTCCCAATGTAAAATCTTATTTTGTGTGATTATTTATTGTGTTGTGAAATTAACTTGGTGATTTGAGACCAGTATTTTAAGAAAGTGAAATAGACTAGAATAGAATAAATATATATTGTTTTATGAACTGGAATCTCAACACATGTATTGTTTTTCTTGGTAATCTGACAATACCTATCTATCAAAGCACAAATGCATATCACTTTTGGCCTAGCAAATCAATATTTGGGAACTTATCCAGATACATAATTGCATACATGCAGAAACGATACATTACAATATTATTTGAAATAGTAAAAGATTGGCAGTAACCCAAACATCTATCAAGAGAGGGCTACTTTTAAATTACAGTACATTCATACAATTTAATGCTCGGTAGTTGTCAGAAAGAATGAAGAAGCATTCTATGTATTGATGTGGAAAGATATCACAATTATACTATATTCTGAGGAGAAGAAAGCCTGGTGCAGAACAATGTGTATGGTGTACTACATGTGTTATGTTAAAAGGAGGAAATATGAAACCTATATTTGCTTGTGTCGGCATAAAGAAAGTCTGGAAAGACAAATAGAGAAGGAGAGCAGTGATGACATAGGGGTGTGGGAACTGGGTGGATGAAGACAGGTAAGGGTAGCGGAGAGACCTCTCATTGTACTTTTTATTAAATTGTGGTAAGAACACACTTAACATGAGATCTACCCTCTTAACAACATTCTAAGTGCACAATACAGCAACTGTATATCCTTTTACAGTGTAGGGTTTGAATTATGCCAATGAATCACCTATTCAAAAATTAAATATAAAACACTGAGCAAAAGAAGCCGAACTCAGAAGAACAGGCCTGTGCGGCGTGCAGTTGCTGATGCTGGCAGCACTGAGCCGCGCTGTCTGTCGGGGTGCACACACGGTCGGGGGGCGGGGGCAGTGTCGCGCAGTAAGGTGTCTCTCTCCCAGGAGGTCACAGTCACAGCTGGAGAAGCCTTATCTATTTTATTCCCTCATCCTGATGTTTAACTGTTTAGATGGGAAGCCGACTTGCTTACCATGAGACCGAGGACTCCTCAGGGCCGAGGGCTGCTAACGTCGTTCGCTCGGTGGCCCCGGAGCGCCTGTGTATGTTCCTTCCAGCTAGAAGGAGGGCCCTCGTTCTTTGATGAGCGTGTCTCAAAGTGGGCAAATACAGGAAGCATCAGAGTGACTCGTCGGAATCCTCTTCAGAATGTGTTGGCCAGCTTCTCAAGGAAACTCTTCTTCCGTTTAGGTAAATGGAAGAGCTGGAGACACGGAAAGCCCACAGAATAGAACAAATGGTGGCAAGATGGCTCCGGCGCTCCCGGGACAGCTCCGCCCGGTAAGGCTCCTGGGCCGGCAGGGATTTCTGTCTGTAAAGCTCTGGTGTCCCTGTGGGAGGAGGTTCTGCCAGTCTTGGCAGCGCCTGGGGATCACTGTCTCCCGCTTGCTTTGTTCTTAGTGCCCCACATGGTGGGAGAGGTGTAAACAGGTCAGCAATTTTGCGGGAGTGCCTCTCTCTGTCCCCCTTCCAACGCTTCCCACTGTGTCCCTCAAAAGTGCACTCCCAGACACAGACACACTCACACCAAACTCACTCACACCTTTACAGAGACAGACACACTGACACACCAACACACTCATACCCACACACGCGTGCATATGTGCACTCTGGAATACACACACTCACACACACACTTTTGAACACACGCTCACTCATGCTCGCTCTCTGTCTTACACACACCCCTTGTCTTCATCCTTGGTGTGAGGATCAGACAATCTGCTGTGGATACTCCTTCCCAGTCTCTGTTTCTGGCAGCTGTCCCTTCCTTGCAGTCCCTGTTTCTTTCTAAACAAAATAAAATGAAATCAAATACAGATCTGATTTGACTGCTACAAGAGAACTTAAAATATGTTCTGTTTCAAAGTGTTCATTTTCCATCTCAGATTTCCCATCTGGCCCTGCCACCGAGATGAAATATCACGTGTCAGGTGTTTCTGAGACACATTCTTCCGAAGGAACTGGAAACAGCTGTTGTACTGCTGAGCAATAAGCCCTGCTCAGGGCTGCACTGCGGCCAAGGGCTCTGATCCTCACACACTGCGATGAGATAAGGCTGGTAGAGTTGGCCCATTTTACAGATGAAACGGCCAAGTCTCAGAGAGTGACTTGTATAGGACCATCACCAACCCCCCTTCCCCTGTTCAGAAACCTCTGATGGGTCTTCATTTCTTATAGGATGAGTTTAAACATTTTGTGTTTGACATTCAAGGTTTTCCGTGATCAACCCACTATCCTCTACAGCTCTTTGTCTTATTACTCTGCCTCAGTCACAGCATACTCCAGCTAAAGTGACCTACTCATTATTCCCTCACTGTAACCACCCCACCTTCCCTTCCACCCCGTAGTTAGACCCGAGCTTCTGTGTCACATCCCTTCCCCCCATCTCCATGTGTCCAGAACCCACCTACAGTGCAAGGTCTGGCTAAAGTGCTGTGTCTTCCATGAAGTGGTCCCCGGCCCACAGTCAGAATTAATTTCTCCCACAGGGCCCCATAGTATTTGATTTGTAGAATTGCCGTTGTGCTTCTTCTGATGTGTTCAACTTATTCGAGCATATCCCTTTTCTTTCTTCTAGCATAAGCTCTATGAGGGCAGGGAAAGCATCAGCCCCCTCTCATAGCCCAGAGGATTGAGTTCCAGGCGATTGCAAGTGGTGAAGTAGTGCTTGATGAACAAACGGGAAAACTGCTAGGCCCATTGTTTCCGAAAGTGGGTTTTGCAAAACCTAGTGTTATGCTGCTCCTTAAGAAAGGTCAGATCTGTTTGGGAAGTGATACAGCCTATATCCCACTCCAACCCACCACCACTTGGTGATTCATTTTAGCACAGTAAAGGCTCTGAGAACTCCTGCAGGAAAGAGATTTGTATAACTTGATGTTGCCTAAATAGTTGACGTTGGAACTCTCTAATATCCAGCTTCTCTCACAGAATATAAATAAAAGGTAACATGTTTAGTGTCTATATAGAATTGTACAACCATCACCAGAATCAAGTTTTAGAATTTTTATTTTAGAATTCTGACTTTCAGTAACCCAAAAAGAAACTCCGTACCCACTAACAGTCATTCCCAACTTGCCATTCCCTCAGCCCCCAGGTAACTGCTCATCTACTTTCTATCTCTATAGAATCTCCTGTTCTGGATATTTCACATTAAATGGAATCATAGACTATGTGGTCTTTTGTGACTAGCTTCTTTCACTTAGCATGTGTCCAAGGTTCATCCATATAATAGCATGTATCCGTATTTCATTCCTTTTTATTGCCAAATAACATTTCATTATGGAATATTTACTTTGTTCCTTCAGCAGTTAATGTACACTTGGGTTGTTTACACTCTGGGGCCATTATGAATAATGCTGCTATGAACATTTGTCAATAACTCTTTGTTTAAACATGTTTTCATTTCTCTGGGGTAAATATTTAAGAGTAGAACAGCTAGGTCATAGGGAAACTCAATGTTTAACCTTCGGAGGGATTGCCATACTGTTTTCCAAAGCAGCTATGCTATTTTACATTCACACCAGCAGAATATTATGGCTTCAATGTCTCCACATCTTTGCCGACACTTGTTATCATCTGTCTTTTTTGTTGTAGCCATCCTGGTGGGTGTACAGTGGTATCTCCTTGTGGTTTTGACCTGCCTTTTCCTGATGGCTAATGATGCTGAGCATCGTTCCATGTGTCTAGGGCAGTGATGGCGAACCTATGACACGCGTGTCAGAGGTGACACGCGAACTCATTTTTTTGGTTGGTTTTTCTTTGTTAAATGGCATTTAAAGATATAAAATAAATATCAAAAATATAAGTCTTTGTTTTACTATGGTTGCAAATATCAAAAAATTTCTATATGTGACACGGCACCAGAGTTAAGTTAGGGTTTTTCAAAATGCTGACACGCCGAGCTCAAAAGGTTCGCCATCACTGGTCTAGGGAGTTTTGTTTGCCAAGTGCTTGAGAAAGAGAAGAAAAAAGAGGGACAGATTCATAGCACTGTCCATGAGAGACATAATTTCTGTGTTTCTAGGATAAACCACAAGTAGCCTTATTTAAATTGCTTCTCATCTCTAACCCTGAACCTTCGATACAGTCTGTGTTCTTTGTGCCCTCAGATTACTTGATGACCAAGAACTGAAAAGCTGCCCTGGCTCAGTTGGTTGGGACGTCATCCCATACACCAAAAAGTCATGGGTTCGATTCCCAGTCAGGGCACATACCTAGGTTTTGGGTTCTATGCCTGGTCGAAGCATGTACTGGAGGCAACCAATCCATCTCTCCCTCTCCCTCTCTCCCTCTTCATTAGTGAACATGTCCTTGGGTAAGAATAAAAAAAAAATTTTTTTTTTTTTACAGAACTGAAAAGCGTTTGAGGTGGATAATTACAATTTTTGCAATTTCCCTGGAGTAGAGTAAATGGTAAACCAATTAGAAGTAGGATTTCACATTTGAATACAAAAATTGACTCTGAGTTTCCTGATACCCAGGGCAAGAAATTTAAAAAGTACATTGAAATGTTTTTTAAAGTCCAGAAAAAGGAAACAAATTCATCTGCAGCCCTATAAGTTTGCATGTATCTTGTAGCAATCCTGTTATTTTTTTCAGACTTTAAAAATCTCCCATTCACTTCAGCTGGTTGTACTTTACTTATAATTGCCATTTTTTCCCCATAAATGTTAAACCTTATGTCAGAGTGTAATTGAATCATCTGGGAACAAATTAGTTAAAAATAACTGTTCATTTCCAAAACTCACTAAACAAATTGATAACTTTTATGAACCTGGGTAATGTTAGAACTTTATAATGCATCCAAAAATGGTGCTTTTCTGGGGAAGAGTGTCAACTTCCAAAGTTGCTTTGATTGCTTAAATTTAAAATTAATTTTCAGTGGGTGGCTATTTACAATCACTAGTCAAATTCAGACAGTGGTACTCAATTTGAATGAGAGACTATTTGGGGGCTTTAGCTATTTCTAAAGAGCACTGATACAGTAAATATTATTTTTATATTGGAATGTGAAATTATGTAATGAGAGAGTAGTCATCTTCATCATAGCTGATACAAAATTATTCAGGTACAAAATTATTTAGATACAAAATTATTCAGATGCAAAATTATTCAGATGCAAAATTATTCAGATATGATGAAGATGACTACTCTCTCATTACATAATTTCACATTCCAATATAAAAATAACATTTACTCTATCAGTGCTCTTTTAGAAATAGCTAACCCCCCAAATGGTCTCTGTGACATGTTTGGAATTTCTGTGTAAACAATGCAATGCAGACTACTTAGTAAAAGCTGCAGCATAGTGACATTAAATCATAACTAATTCGCAAGCATTTTGCTTTGAATTTCATTGTCATCTTCTTAACAGCTTTGTATAACTGTAGAAGTGATAAAATGAGAAAGAGTTATAGTATACTTATCTCCTTAATTATACCAACTTTTTCTCTCCTGCAAAAATTTTGTTTTTTATGTAGTTAAATGGCATTTCTTGGCAATTTCTTTGATTGCTTCTAAGCTTAGAAAAATCCTCATCCAATAATTAATGAAATTAGGTTAATTAATTTTCAACTTAATAGTTAAAATATTTTATATTTAATTATTTTATATGGAGCTTATTTTAGTATAGGCTATGAGATGAAGATCTAATTTGATTTATTCCAAAGTAGCAAGTAGTTTGACTTACCATTAACTGTGAGTGATCTTTCCTTTCTTTGCTGACCTATGACCCCTCTTTATCATCTAGGAAATCCCTGTGTCTGTGAGTGGAAGACTGGATCTCTTTCTAGGCTAGTTCTTCTGTTCCATTGGTCTAATTGCCTGGTATCACACGCCTGTATTAAACTTACTTACATTTATTATCTATTAAGTGAGACTTTTATTACTCTTTGTTTTTAGTTTTTTACCTGCCTATTTTTCCATGTGAACTTTAAAATAAGTTTATTCTATCATTAAAACAATTCAGCATAAGATTTATTGAATTTTCTTATGCTTAATCTGGAAATGTTACTTTTATAGAGTGAGATTTAAAGAAACCAAGAGCTGAATGCAACTTGATGTCTTCTTCTTGGTGCTTGCTTTTATCCTCAGGGCTGAATAAGGTGATTTCTTTCAACGTATCTTGAATCCTACTACTAATGAACACACATGCCTGTGCACATGTGCACACAAACAGGCATACGTGTGCACACACATGCACCATGGCAACTTAGTGTCTCTGCCCTTGCCGTTGGTTTCCAAATTGACCTGCTCATTACCACCATCGTCTGTTTGCTAATTATAGGGATGGCCTTATTAGACTTTCTAGCATCCCAATAATGGTACCAATTTTTATTGCATTTTGTCCCATGGGCAAAGGTGGAAAGGTTCGAGGAGAAGAGGCTGAGAGGCTCTGCACTGCATGTGCAGAGTTGCCATTGTCTCCCGAATTTCCTTTTAAAAGTAATAATGGAATAAGTTCTCTTAACTGTAGGCCTTTGCCCTATAGCACTTACTCACAATACATATGTTCAATGACCCTCCTCGGAACTGTCACAGCCACAAGCATTTCTTTCTGGTATAGGGTGCTGCTACCTCTATTTATTCTTTCCTTGAATAAACTTTAGATTAAAAATCCAGCTTATACCAGACTTTAGTTTTTTGTTGTTGTTGTTTTTTTAAAAATATATTTTATTGATTTTTCACAGAGAGGAAGGGAGAGAGATAGAGAGTTAGAAACATCGATGAGAGAGAAACATCGATCAGCTGCCTCCTGCACATCTCCTACTAGGAATGTGCCCACAACCCAGGTACATGCCCTTGACCGGAACTGAACCTGGGACCTTTCAGTCTGCAGGCCGACGCTCTATCCACTGAGCCAAACCGGTTTCAGCCAGACTTTAGTTTTTAAGTCACTTAAGCTGAACATAATACAGTGTTTAAACATAGATTCAAAATAGTTTCTCCGCATCCCGCTGGAACTCAAAGATGAATTCTTTGTTGCTACAACAGAGAGGTAAAATATAAAAAGCAGATAAAAAGCTAGAGAATATTTGAAGCATAATCTGGTATTTTTCCTTTTTTGTGTTATTGATCAGCTCAATATGAACTGATAGCCCATAAAATATGGAATTGGTCTACATGAGACTATGTTCATGATAAATTTAACATTTTTTTTCCTGGTTCTACCTTAGGCTAGATTCAATTATAGGACAGGAATTCCATTAGTGTAACCACAGGTCTTATTTCTGTTCCAATGTCATATCATAGGAATGATTTTGGAGTTAAGATTTGAAATTATTACATCACATCAAAGTGGATTCTATTTCACCATTGGATAAGGTTTGTTTTCTCTCCTGTTCTCCAAACATTTATCAAGCCTTACTCTATGCTTAGCATTGAATTCAGCACATGGGACGAGAAAGACAGTTTTTGCCATACGAACTGTAGTCGAACAAGAGACTTCACTCTGGTCATTGCAGATAGTTGTACATTTCAAAAAGGGAAGTACAGTTTCCGTGGGCGTGTTCAGCAGGGGGAGGCAGCAGACATAGGTTTTTGGATTACCAGTCCTTAGTTTGACGTTTATAAAATGCATCAGAAGAAAATTTTGCTACAGAGACCATTTTCTTCAGCTCCTGTCAGATATTGAACGTTTTGTGTGTGTGTGAGGAGAGGCCATGGTCTGGTCATGTTCTTAAGCAATCCCTTCCCAAACAAAAGCTGAAACGTGGCCTTCGGGGAAGATGTCAAATCCAGACTTTGGGCCAGAGCTACTGGCACGGTCTAGGGATTAGTCAACACAGTGGGGCTTCATTTGTCTACTATTGTTGAGGAACACACCCTTCCAAATGGACAAGTCAGACAAGCCTACCCATTGGAAAAGCATCAAAATGGGTCCTATTTAACCACGGGATAAGGTTTGTTTTCTCTTCTGTTCTCCAAACATTTACCAAGCCTTGCTCCATGCCTAGCATTGGATTCAGTACATGGGACGAGAAAGACATAGTTTTCGCCATACGAACTGTAGTCGAACAAGAGACTTCGCACTGGTCATTACAAATATGTTGTACACTTCAAAAAGGAAAGCACAGTTTCCATGGGCGTGTTCAGCAGGGGGAGGCGGACATTTCTTTCTTTTTTTTTTTTTTTTTAAATATATTTTATTGATTTTTTACAGAGCGGAAGGGAGAGAGATAGAGAGTTAGAAACATCGATGAGAGAGAAACATCGATCAGCTGCCTCCTGCACATCTCCTACTAGGGATGTGCCTGCAACCCAGGTACATGCCCTTGACCGGAATCGAACCTGGGACCTTTCAGTCCGCAGGCCGACGCTCTATCCACTGAGCCAAACCGGTTTTGGCAATTTTTCTTTCTTTTTTTAAAAAAAATATTTTTTATTGATGTTTTACAGAGCGGAAGGGAGAGAGATAGAGAGTTAGAAACATCGATGAGAGAGAAATATTGATCAGCTGCCTCCTGCACACTCCCTACTGGGGATGTGCCCACAACCAAGGTACTTGCCCTTGACAGGAATCAAACCTGGGACTCTCGGGTCCGCAGGCCGATGCTCTATCCACTGAGCCAAACCGGTTAGGGCAAGAGGCAGATATTTCTGCCAAAACCAGAGGACAGAGTAGGAGTTGGGCAGGTCAGGTGCATGGTCAGGTGTGTTGGGGGAATCTGTAGAGAGTATGTATGTTGGGGTGGGGTGGATTCTAGGCAGAGGGAAGAGCTTGTGCAAAGGCCAATGTATTTGAGAACTCCAGGGAGACTAGTTTGGAATCCAGCATAACTTCGTCCAACTACTTGTGTCATCCTCTATTGCATCAGCTCATTAAGATTGCCTACCCCCTAATACACGTTCAACTAATCTGTTTTTAATGAATTTGCTGAATGCTTTTTGCGGTTGTGTTTTTATTGTGCAGCTTCACCAAACTTATTTTTTCACCACTAGCAATTCTCTGTTGATCATTTTCTAGGGTGAATATCATCATCTGTTTTTTTTAAAAAAGTGGTACTTTTCCACTTCCTCTGCTTATTGTGCCTCTTACAGGTTTTCCTTCTGTGAAAACTATTACAAGCATTTCTCCTGCTACATAAAATAGGGGTAGTGTCTAAGGCATCCTTCCTGTTCCTTTTTAAAAGGGATGTAGGTGTTGATTTTTGGCTTTCAGTGTACTATGTTATTTATTATATTCAGAAGGCCCCTTTCATAGCTGTAAGGCATTGTTTTTTAAAATCAGGAATGGCGATGGGTTTTATTCTGTACAAATTTTCACAGCTTTCTATTTCTTCCCTCTCATTAGGTCTATCTGCTAACACTTCTCAGTACTACCCATGTGCTCGCCTAGAAGAAATCTTCTCTTTGCTTCTAAGCTGTGTGGGTCCAGTCACCCTCTATTCAGACAGCCTACACTTGCTGTCTGAGGAGCTCCTGGGTGGAGGATGTGCAGGAGGCTTTGCACTTGACTTGTCCCGTGCCATTCTGGCTCCACGAGACTGTTTTTCATATTTCCTGGTCCTTGTTGAAATAGGAGATTGTGATAAATGACGGAGAGGGGATTCTCAGATGAGTGAGGTCCTATTGCATTAGTCAGAGATCCAGGCAGAGTTTGGGAAATGGATGAGAGTGATTGATAGGCCTTAACTGCAGCGGCCCGAGGAGCTGTTCCTTCTCCACGTTTCTGTAGTTTATAGTGACAATAAACACCTCATCCCGGCACAATTTGACCTTCCCCAGAAAGAACCGCTGACTCTTAGAGGGAGAAAAATCATTTGCTACAATCCGATAAACGATCACTTGTAACTCACCTGGTGGTTTTGAGAGATAGAAAATACAACTTTCAACTGACCTGATTTTGGGTATATAGAGAACATACATGTTTTTAAAAATTAATATAGAGAAAGTCTTCACTGTCAGGGGTTTCATGTTGGAAATCCTGTCCTTCTCAATTTTCCTGAGCCACAGAGGCTGAGGAGAGAGCAGCTGCTCTGTAATCCAGTTACAAAGTTGAAAGGAAAGCAAAATCCATCAAAAAGCAAAACAGGTAAAAGACTCACCAAAGACACAGTATGAAGTAGGCATCATCAGACACCCAAACCAAACAACTCCTCAGTCCTGCTTGTGGTCCCTGTTTTTCCTCTCTGTACCTCGGCTCAAGTGGTGCCTTCTGCTTGGAATGCCTGTCCATCCATCCATCCACCCACCCACCCACCCCTTCGCTCAGCAGCAGTTACTATGCCAGGATCTGGGCCGTGAGGGTGTACCCTCACATCTTTTAAATGTCACCTCTTCCAGGTAGCAAATGCTTCCCTGATTCCTTATCCCCTGTCCCCCAAAGTTAAAGCTGCTCTCCCCTCTGAGTGCCCATAGAATTGAAGACATGGTGCTCCTTGGTATTTTATCTCCCGGTGTTTGTGTCGGAGAGTGGTCCCCTCAGCTCTGCCTCTTCCTCCCCCAGGATGCTAGGGCTGACCTGCTTTGTAGCCACCACTTAGGATTCTCTCTCTCTCTCTCTCTCTCTCTCTCTCTCTCTCTCTCTCTCTCTCTCTCTCTATTCTCCTTCTCTTCCAGGGCTAAAGTCACTGCAGCCGATGGGTCCCCTGGGATCCCAACCCAGACCCTCATCCCTGTGAAGCACACAGTAAAAGTAGACAAAGATGCCCTCCTGCAGGACTATGGGTTTCACATTTCCGAGAGCCTTCCCCTCACAGTGGTGGCCGTCACACCAGGTAGGCGCTGGCTGGGAAATTGGAAAGGAGTTTGGCTTCCTGGGGGCAAAAAGCTGTGGTTCTCTTCCCATCTCTCTATCCTGTAACACGATGCAGAAAACGCTGCCCCAGGGGAGTTAGAAAGGGCACACCTAATTCTGGCCTAATTCTCTCCTGGGCTTTTGCACCTTCCTCTGGTGCTGGCAGGGAGGGGAGGAAGCGTCAGTGCACTTGCTGATCTGAACCCCAGGCTCCCGCTGGCCTCAAGCAGGGCTCTGCCCACCCTCCGCTCCCTGGCCCGTCTCGGGGGCAGGGACAGTATTTGGATCCACCAGTGCTCCTCTTCGAACCCGCCAAGCTGGGGACAGTTTCTGGTCAGACAGTAATAGAAATTATTGATTTCTTTTCACTTGAGTCTTTGTAAAGTATAGGCTGTATCACAATGAAGAGGAGCAGGCTGGAAATGTTTACTGTTTGCTTTCACACTCCAGCTATGTATTGATGTTAGATCTGGCGTTCGTTAAAAATCTACTCATTTCAGTTCACACATACACAGTTCTTTAGAAATGAATGTAGTAGACTTACTGGCCAGCTCTGTTGATCAGGGAGTCCTGCTAGTCGTCTTTCCCAGGACAGTCTCCTGTCATCCCTTGAAGATGATGGATGGTAGGTACATTATCCAAGATTTGTAAACAGGAAAACTGAGATCAACATGGGCCTGAGGCTGTCCGGGGGAGATCAGGATGGGGGAGGGGTGATCCAGAGCTCTGGGGGCTGCGTCAGGCTGCCATTCAGGTGTGGGTGCTCCAGGGCCAGCACCAGTTACTTCTTTTCTGTCTAACAGGAGGCTGCGCTCACGGCAAGCTTTTCCCCGGCGATCAGATCCTCCAAGTGAACAACGAGCCGGCTGAAGACCTCTCCTATGAACGAGCAGTGGATATCCTGAGGTACAAAATGTCTCCCGTCATCCAAAGGTGGATGACAGGGATGGTTTCCCCGCGATGTCAGTAGGACCCCGCATCCTGTAGAGCAGCAACAACAGCCTCATTTCAGAATTCCATCTCGGTTACGATCTACTCTCTTTCATCGGCCGACAGAAGCAATTGGGAGGCACAGGATGCTGTTTGTCAAACCCTCACTATGGCCAAGATACCGTGCTGGATGCTGCGGGGAATGTAAAGATGAATAATACATAGGCCCTGCCCTTTAAGAATGTGTAGGGTTGTAATACATGCCAAAGATTGGGCTAAGCTGATCCTCAGTCTCTTTGTTCTTCTTTCACCCTTTTGATACCTCTTCTTAAATGTTATTGCAGATACAGCCTGATTGGTGTATATGTACTTCCATCGATATGGCACCTACCACTTTCTACCTGGTGTCATTGAGATTTGTGTAAATGCCTCACTTTCTGCCCAGACAGGATCTCCTTGAGACCAGGCACACAGTGGGTGCTCAGTTAAACGAGTGGATATGGTTGGCACTACGTTTTCTGATATAGCAACCTAAAATATCTGCGTTACTGCTGTGTTTTCTCTTAACATAAACCTAGCAAGTGGTCATAGCAACTGGAAGAATTCTCCATCATACAGACGAAATTAAGTCTACATGACTTAATTCAGTGGCTGTAGGCGTAGACTAGGTCAGGGGTCCTCAAACTACGACCCGCGGGCCACATGCAAATACAAATATTGTATTTGTTCCCGTTTTGTTTTTTTACTTCAAAATAAGATATGTGCAGTGTGCATAGGAATTTGTTCATAGTTTTTTTTAAACTATAGTCCGGCCCTCCAATGGTCTGAGGGACAGTGTACTAGCCCCCTGTTTAAAAAGTTTGAGGACCCCTGGGTAGAGGCAGGTATCTGAAGATCCCCTCATGGGGCACTCTGGGACCGCGTAAATTCCTTCGCAGATCACTGCTTTCCTCACGTCCTTCTCAATTTTCCTGAGCCAAAGAGGCTGAGGAGAGAGCAGCTGCTCTGTAATTCTGCCAGTCTTTTTTACTGAACACACACACACACACACACACACACACACTCACACACTCACATCACCCAGAATGACGAAAGTTTTTTTGTGTGTTTTTTCTTTCAGGGAAGCTGAAGATTCTCTTTCCATAACAGTTGTTCGCTGCACGTCGGTAAATCTCTTTCTATGTCCTGTGTGTCAGTTGCACCCTTCTCAACCCCAAGACCCTATCCCCCTTGTGAGATATCCCTCAGAGGATAAACAGGGAAGACCAGTCGCCTATGCACCCGTGTTGTGGAGGAAACAGGTGTGAGTCCAGGCTTCAAGAACTCGAAGTCCAGCTGAGGAGACAGACCTGTGATTATACGGAGTGGGACGATGAAAAGGGCACCAAGCTAGGGGTCTCAGGACAGACTTGAGTGGTATGACTTGGGCAAGTCATTTCATTTCAGTTGTAGCTTTTGTAAAAAAGTGGTGATGACAGTAATGGCCATGCCAATGGGTTGTTCTGAGGGCCAGATTTTATCAGCTCTGAGGTTCCTCACAAGTCAAGGAGTGGCATAGATGAGTCAAGGAGTGGCATAGATGAGGCAACAACCATCCTGAACTACCACATCCAGGGCCCTTCATATGTGATATGGGGGAGAGTATAGAACAAATTATAAGAGAAAACCACCAAGGAGGAAATGTTGAAATAAAATTCTCATTCTGAGAGACTTTGGCCACATAAAGACAAAAAAAATAAATAGAGGCATAGAGAATTTTAATAATGCACTTAATGATCTAATATAATTGACCACATATCAGGCTACCAAGAAAACTCAACAAATTCCCCAAATAAGCAACTCTGTAGGTCTCTTTTTCCAGAATACAATAAAATAGAAATTAATAATCATCAAAAACTAATTCAAACTATCAACCCATTTGGAAATAAAAATGCTATGTCCTATGTAAAGATGGAGTCAAATCAAAAAGCAAAACTACCATTATATAGGGTGTCCCAAAGAATGTATATACACACACACACTTTGAATAATTATAAAGGCAGTGTTTATTAAAATACATTTCACTTTCAAAACTGAGCTATCAGCTGTTAAAGTGTGTATGCATTTTTTGGGATACCCTGTAAGACTAGTTAGAAAATAATTAAAAATTAGATTTCTATTTCTTAAAATTTATGTGCAGCTGAAACTATACTCAGTAAAATTAATAAATACCCTTAAATAATTTTATTTAATAGGGATGTAGGTCAAGTAAATATTCAGTGAAAGAAGTTGAGCCCAGATGGTATGGCTCAGTGATTGAGCATCGATCCATGAACCAGGAGGTCACTGGTTTGATTCCTGGTCAGGGTACATGCCCAGGTTGCAGGCTCAGTCCCCAGTGTGGGGCATGCAGGAGGTGGCTAATTGATGATTCTCTCTCATCATTGATGTTTCTATCTCTCTCTGCCTCTCTTTTCCTCTCTGAAATCAATAAAAATATATTTAGAAAAAAAGTAGTTGAAAGGAAAGACCAATAAAACAAACATAAAGCAGAATAAAGAAAATAATAAAAATTAAAATTTAAATGCATTGGAAAACAGAAAAATGATAAAGTTGATAAATAGATCCAACAGCTAGTTCTTTAAGGGAGACTATAAGAAAATAGGAAAACTTAAGGGAAAAGAAACATGTGCTTCCTGTCTGAAGGAAACTAGGATATTACTGAAGGATGGTTTAAAATTTTTTTTCTATAAAAGGAGATACATATCATTTTCCTTGATGGGAAGACTATTATTAATACATTGGCTTTTCTCATATTAATGTACTGTATAATGAAAGCTATTCACTATAAATGACTGTGCAGGTGTTAAGAAGTTCTTTTTATTTAGCTGATTATCATCTCAATGGAGAACATCTTAATCTTAATTAGGTGGTTATTTTTCTTCTCTATTTCCAAGAAATGAAAGCAAAAAAATAACTCTTGTTAAGTAAGGAGAGAGGGAAATGGCATATAGCTAGACGACGTCCTTTAAAATATGAAAAATACAGGGAGAGGAAAACATATC